GTCTGAGCCCTACTAGGTTGAGTTGGAGGAGGGTAAGGGAAATGAAGGGCAGGCCTGGCTCTGAGGAAGCTCACAGTTTGGGTGTGCAGAGGGATAAATCACAAGAGCTAGGAGGGGAGCAAATACAATAGGATGCTGAAAAGTCAGAAGCTGTGGCTGAAGGTTGGTGTGACAGCGGGCCATATGGCCTTGTTCAGGCGGGAAGCCCACCGTAGGCGTGTAATCCTCCAGCTGCATCAGGAAGTCCACTAGTGGTGTGCTGGACACCACCGGCTTAACGTCTCCGTTGGCGGCGCTCGGCAGTACGTAAACTCCGTTAGACATGGCCCCCTCTGGGGGCGCCGCGCCGCCTGCCGACACCTGAGCTGGAGGGGAACCAGCAAACTGAGACCCAGAAGTGGGAAGCTCAGGACCCCAGCTAGCTGTCTTGTACTTTCTGCCCTCACCCGTCCAAGGCACCCTGCCCAAGACATCGCCCTCACCCTCACCCGTCCCGGTCCTCACCCGCCCCGCGCCGCTCGGCTGGCTCCCCGGCCCGCGCAACCACGGGTCCCGTGCCCCCAGACGCAGCTCCAGCCCCAGGCCCCCCTGCGGTCCCCGCGGGGCTGGCCTTGTTCTCTGAGACGGCGTTGGCAGGTAGCGCGGCGGGGGCCGAGACCGGGGGCGCGGGGCCCGGGGCCGAGGCGGCGTTGGCCGGCGCCGCCTCGGGGTCCGCGCCGGAGCCGCTGCAGCTCATCGGGCCGGTGGGATAGGCGGCGAACAGAGCCGCTTCCGCTTCCGTTCATGTACGTGCACATCAGGGATGACGTCACACGCTCCACAACTCGCCCCGTCCAGACATCGCAGCTCTCTCTCCTCTCAGCTCTTGGCTCTTTAACCAGTTAGATGAAATGAACGTAATAGGTCGGACCAAGCCATTGAGAACTGTGTGGCCGCGTACATCCCATCCTCGCGATATTGCAAGTGATTCCTCCAGGATAGGAACAATTTTATGTCTGGGACTCTCTTATGAAGGTCTGGGGACCTCGTTCAGCCTGACGCGCAAAGAATTTGGTTTGGGGCGCATAGGCTGAGAAGCTATATAGGGAAGGTATGGCAGTGCCCGGGCCCCTTTGACTGGAGCTGCCACTGAGCAGTTTCTGTGGCCAGTTGTGAGACATCATTCAGCAAGTTAAACTAATATTTTCGTGTTTGAGGGAATCCATAGGTCAAGGTGAACAGTACGATCTTGTTACGCTGTTGTTGTTGTTATGTACCGGCGAGTCGGATTCGACTCATAGTGACCCCTCCTTGGGTTTCCGAGGCAGTATCACTACGGAAGTAGATTGCCCCATCTTCCTTCCAAGGAGTGGCTGGTGGGTTTGAACCGCCAGCCTTCTGGTTAGCAGTCAAGTGCCTTAGGCACTACGCTACCAGAGCTTGTTATGCTAGGTGTAGAAAAAAGGAACTGCGGGGGCTGGGGGGGGGGGCGGGACTTTGAACACATCATAGATCAATTTTCATGAGTGAAAGCAAAAAAGGTGCAGTTTGAATTTTCATGTAGTGCCATAATGTGTAAGTACAAGATTAAAAAGTTTGACTTGTATTTTTTAGTGGCATAGTGCCTAAGGCATTTGACTGCTAACCAGAAGGCTAGCGGTTCAAACCCACCAGCCACTCTGCTGAAGGAAGACGGGGGCAATCTACTTCTGTAAAGATTTATCTTTGGGGAAGCCCAATGGTGGTTGCTATGAGTGAATCAACTTGAGAGCAGTGCATTATTATGGTAAAATGGCTCCCCAGAACGATGTGGCAGGCAATCTGTTCAGTAAAGATTACAGCCTTGTGAACTCTATGGGGAAGTTCTACTTCGTCTTATAACGTTGTTGTCGAAATGGCAATGAGATTGGTTTTTGATTTGTTAACATTTAAAACATGGGCATCAGATGTTTGGACAAGGGCACTGTTTTCCTCAAATACACCTTTGTATAGGCCTGACCTCTCTGGACCATGAGTTGTCTGCCTGTCTGCTTCCTCTCTACCTGTTGCCTTCTAACCAATTCCAACTCATAGCAAACCTTTAGGACAGAGTAGAACTGCCCCACAGGGTTTGCAAGCCTGTAAATCTTTATAGAAGCAGACTGCCTAATCTTTCTCCCAAGGAGTGGCTGGTGAATTTGAACCCCTGACTTTTCAGTTAGCAGCCAAACACTTTAACCACTTTGCCACCAGAATCCAGGACTCATTACATCCCCTCTAAAACCAAAAAAAACCAAACTCACTGCTGTCGAGTCGGATCTGACTCATAGCGACCCTTCCTTGGGTCTCCAAGGCTACCGGTATCACTACAGAAGTAGATTGCCCATCTTCCTTCCAAGGAGTGCTGTTGGGTTTGAACCACCAGGCTTCTGGTTAACAGTCAAATGCCTTAGGCACTATGCCACCAGAGCTCCTGCATCCCCTCTAGTTCCCCTTTTTTAGCCTTTTAAGGGTTCATAGTAGGGTTATGAGCTCTGATGGCATAGAGATACCGGTAGCCTTGGAGACCCAGAGAGGGGTCGCTGAGTCGGATCCTACTCAACGGCAGTGAGTAGTGGGGTTAGAGAACCTTCCCCTGTCCCTACCCAGCCAAATGCCCCACGAGGCAGGGACAGTAAGAGGTTGGCACACAATGCTGCCTTAGAAGGTGGGAGAGGCCTATATGACTATGAGACCAGAAGAACTAGATGGTGCCCGGCTACTACTGTCAACCACTTAGAAGGGAATCTATGTAGGAGATCCTGGATAGAGAAGGAGAATAATGTGGAACAAAACTCAAAGGGGGACCAGGTTTGCTGGTCCAATAAAGCCTAGTGGAACCACTGAGACTATGGCCCCTGGCTGCCCTTCAGGTCTGGAATTGAACCCACCCTTGTGGCTTCCAGCCAGGCAATGGACAGGCATATGAATTGAGCATTTACCTGAGGTAGATATACTCCGTAGAGAGATCATGGGAGAAAGAAGGACTGTTTATGCACAGAGAAACAGCTCAGAAGGCAGGAGTGCATGGAGGGATGGACACTGGGAAGAGGTAACTATCGGGAGGAAGTGGGAAGGGAGCTGTTGCATTGTGGTAAGTTGTGGTCAATGTCATGAAACAAAGTGTATGTGAACTGCTGTATGGAAAGTGAATTTGCTCTGTAAATTTTCACCCAAATCACAGTATAAATAAATAAATAAAGGTGGGAGAAGTATTTTCAGAGTGAACAGCATATGCAAAATAACAGTTAGTGAAAGCATGGGATTCTGAATTCAGCAAACATTTATTGAATTCCTCTTTACCAACCCCTGAGCTTGAGCCTGGAGATGCAAAATTGAGTAGGACAAAATTCTAGACCTCTAGGCACCAATGGTCTTGGAAAGTAAGGCAAACAAATTGGCAATTTCAATACTATGTGGTAATTCCAATGCTGGAGGTAGACAGAGGGTGTGCAGTGCAAAGGAGGAAGAGAATACCTGCTGCCTACTCCAGTGTGCCAGGCACTTTGTCAGCGTTATTCCATTCAGTTATTCCCTCGTATTTCTGAGAGGCAAGTATTGATATCTCCACTTAACAGAAGAGGAAAGAGGCTCAGGGAGATAAAGTACTTGCTAAAGTCCTTGGACAAATATGTATCAAAACCAAGAGTAAAACAAGTTTGATTTCAAAAAATAAAACTTTTTTTTTTTTTTGCTGTACCCAAATCACCTCAGTGAGCCTCAGGGAAACAAAAAGGTTCATAAGATAAACTACTTTCCAAGCTAAGTCTTAAAAGAATTCTGGAAATTAACCAGGCAAAGAAGTAAGCAGTAGGAAGGAATAGCTTGAGCAAAAGTGAGAGTATGGAGGTGGGGTGGGAGGAGATGTGGGGAGAAGGATAATAAATTTGTTAGTAAGACACAAATAGCAAGGCAAGGACTGGGTCTTGTGGGCCTTGATAAAAAGTCTGAATTTTATCCAGTAATCTATAGGGTTTTAATCAAGTAAATTACCAGATAGGATCTGCATTTCCTTCTTGGTTTAGGGAAATACCAAACCAAAAAACAAACCCGCTGCTGTAGAGTCCGACTCATAGTGACTCCCCTTGGGTTTCTGAGGTGGTAAATCTTTATGGAAGTAGATTGCCCCATCTTACTTCGGCAGAGTGGCTGGTGGGTTTGAATCACCCACCTTCTGGTTAGCTGTCAGATGCCTTAGGCACTGTGCTACTAGATCTCCTTTAGGGAAGTACAAGGACACTGTTTTTTGCAAGGCCCTCCTATAGTACAGAGGACAAAGAATATGACTATGGGCTAATGTAGCAGTGGAGATGGAGAAAGTAGAAGAATTCTAGATATATGTCAGAAATATAGTTGGCAGGATTTGTGGATTAGTATAAACTTATTAAAAGATAAAATAAGTAGGACTTTGTTGATTGAAGGTAGTGGTAGTGAGAGTGAAGAAAATGAGAATCTAGAGTGACACTTAGGCTTGGTTGGAAGAAGCATAGTGCCAGTTACTAAGAAGAAACAAAAAAGATGGAGCAGTTTGAGGTTGGAATGGAGGGAGATGAAGTGTTGAGTATTACACATCATACATTTGAGGTATCAATCACTATTGGATAGAGCGTCTCATTAGGTCAGATGATGATGGCTGCAGATGCCAGTGATTTGTTTGTCTGCAATGGGTAGAGTAAAAAGAGCAAAAGACTAAAGATGGAGTGATGATAAACACCAACAGTCAATGAATACACAGAGAAAGAGAAGTCCATGAAGGCAGAAGACAAGGATGGTCAGAGAAGTTAAGTCCTGGAAGCTGAGGAAGGAGAAGGAGTGGGCAACTATGACAGAGAGCCCGTAAAACAAAGATTGAGAAGTCCACACTGGATGAAGCAGTAGGGAGGCCAGTTTCTCATGAAGCTCAGTATCGGGGAGAGGAAGGCAAAAGGGGAAAGCAGAGATCTCATTGCAATGGATTAAGGAATGAACATGAATTGAAATAGTGCACATAGTCAGTGTAGACAACCCTTTGGAAAAGTCTAGATGAAAAGAGAAAGAAGAGATGGGGGTAGGGTCACCCAAAAGTGCTGGTTATTGCATGTTACAGGGGAACTTGAGGCAGGAATGTGGAGACCTGAGTATAATAGAGAAGGGTAGGTTTGGGAGTCAAGTCCAGCTCACAGCATTGCAAGGTTAGAGAAGTAAGCTGCTTGTAGCAGTCATGGCTGAGGATTCAGAAGGGCTCCCAACAAGGCAAAATAAGGGACCAAGCCACTAGTTGCATGGCAAGATATAGGTCAGTTCTCCTGGCAGGAAAATGTCAAGGGTTGAGTAATATCTTCAGCAGAGCTGGGAAGTTGGGTGTTCCCCATCCTGTCACAGGATCCCAGCCAGGGCCAGAGCAGAACCCCTCACCCTGCACCTCTTCATTCAGACAAGACTCATGGCAGCCATGGGTCACCTAGGGAGAAAGTGGGAATCAGATCTGACCTTGGTGATTCTAGTACTTCCAGATTGTACATCCTCACCCTGTACCCACATCCCAGAAACTTCCCATGCCATCAGAACTGTCCTGCGTTCAGCTCAGTATTCCTCATACTGGTATGCGATCATCTACACCCTCCCCTATACACTCACATCAAAGAGTCCTGCTCCCTGGTACTGGTAGAGCCTTGGATTGAGAAAGCCAAGAGGTGGGTGGCCACTGAGGATTCTGTGCTCATTTATCAGGGACAGGAGTCCCCCAAACACTGGAGTGGAGGCCTGAAAGGGGTGAGGAGAGTTCAAGTAGAGGTCAGGGGCTGAGAATGATTGGATTTTTTGGGGGGTTGTCTAAAATCAGAAATCTCTAAGGAGTCAGGATTCTGGGTACAAGGTCTTGGTGGTAGGGTATGAGGACAATTCCTGAGTGGGGGCTTGAAGTCAGGCTGATTCTCACCGAGGTGCCGGACACCCATGGAATGGGCACACCATTGCTGACCACCCAGTAGCCATCAGAGAGTGCAGCCACGTCTGGGTAGGCACGGCCACTGGAATTGAAATAACTGGATGGTGGCAGATGGGGGCTGGAGTTCAGAAACTGGGCTACAGCTTCCTCCTGAAAGACATTGTTGATTGAGTATTGGCCTGTGGCCTGCCCAGTAATCTACTGAACTTAGGATCCTCCACCCACCACCACCTATCCATCTGCACAAACATACACATACCTGGTATGAAGGCCGTGGAAATACATTGCTGAAGCCACCACCACTAATATAGTCAACAATCTCATTTGTGATGCGGAAGGGATTCTGGAAGGATGTGCCTCCCACTGTGGTGACATAGGGGCTAAGGGCAGAAGACAGTACTCAGATTGTAGAGGGACCCAAAGGGAATTCCAAGATGTGTGGGGATGAGTGAGTATGACCTGGGTCTCACTAAACCAAAAATCAAACTTACGCCATTGAGTGGATTCCGACTCATAGCAACTTCCTTTAGGTTTCTGAGGCTATAAATCTTTTCGGAAGTAGATTGCCCAATCTTCCTTCCATGGAGTGGTTGGTGGGTTTGAACCACTGACCTTCTGGTTAACAGCCAAATGCCTTACCCACTACACCACCAGAGCCCTTTTGGGTCTTGCTAGAGGGACTAAACTCCATGGGCAGCACACATGGTTATAGCTAAGAGGTTGTGAGCTCTCAAGGCATGGACTGAGGTGATTGTTCATGCCTTTCTCTACAGAACACCCACCAAATATTCCATTAAAATGCCTAGGGATTAGTGAGACTGGGAGCTGTCTCACTTAGGAGACCTGGGCCTGGGACCTATAGGAAGAGGGAGGAGCATAGCAAGCAAGGAAAGTAAAACTGAGGACTGAGTAACAGAAGGGCCTAGTTGGGGTCAAGGCAAAGTTCCAGATCATAAAATCACAGGTGAAAGGTTAGTGGTCATAGATACACAGTGAGCTAGGATGCTTACCTAGAGGCAGGGAAGCTGGGACGGAACTGGTATCTTCTAGAGACAGACCAACACCCAGCTCCATTGTCACCTGGGAGAGAGATCAAGTTTAGCACTCAGATTAATTGGTCACAGCTTGGCATGTGGGTTGAGAAGCCAGAGTGGGAAATTCACATGTCAGTCATTATTGTAGGAGGTCAGAATTTAGAGGTCAGGTCAGTAGTCCCTGTTGAGGAGTCAAGTTCAGATTCTGAGTCAGAGATCAGGCTTAGGGGTCACCGTGGGTCAAAGTTCACAGGCTGGGTAGGTGAGAGAGTCTAAGTTTAGGGTAGGAAGTCACCTGAGGCAAAGAGGAGGGTGAGACCCCGAGTGGCAGCCTTCATGAACTCAGTGTTGACCCGCTGGATGTAGGCACTGCTAAGTGAGTCCTCGTCATCTCCATAGCTCACAGTGTGCACATGTGGCAGGACTGACTCATTACTGAGCAGGAGGAGCCACTGTAGGAAGGGCTCCTGTGACTCATGCCGACCTGGATTCATGGGGGAGAGGGGCACAAGGGTAGGTGCCCTGCAAGGTTGTCAGGGTCCCTTCCCAGATCATGGGAGTCCCTTGAGGCAACAGGGATCAACACCCACCACCACCCTCTTCCCCACCAACCAATCCCCTTTGTAGTACCAGGACTACTATAGACCCAAGTAGAGATGTTGGCACCAGCACTCATCAGGTACTGCACATCTAGACTGGCCTCGATCCCGGCCCGGCCCCGGCCCTGTTTTCCGACCACACGTGCTACTGATGCTTGGTGTGCAAAGCTCCCACCAAAAAGGTGCATGAACTTAGCCAGGTCTGAGTCATGGAAGTACTGCTCCAGGAACTATGGAAGGAGTCAGAGCAGGGATCATGGGTCAGAAGGTACAGCCCCAAGGGTCAGATTGGGGACACTGTGTGGGATAAGGGATGACAGCCCAGGGATATGAGTCAAGGGCAAGTCCCAGGGTGGTAAGACACTAAAGACACTTCAGGGTGGCTGTGAGGACCTGAGTTTACCTGCATGGCTCACCTGTGCACAAGCCTGGCTGTTGTTGGTGGTGCCAGAGCCTACATCTTGTGCTGTCAGGTTGTATCGCTGACGGATCACAGATGGGGTCACCCCCAGGTGCAGGCCAACAGTCCCTGCCACCTGTGGCTCAGGGCGTTGCCTCAGGGATGATGTGGGTGGGAAGCGGTGCAGTCCCCCCACTGTGGGGAAGGGTCAGATTTGAGGAGGAGCTCTTACAAACTCCAACCTCCACTTTATCTCTGACCCCACCCCAACCCACCCTGGCTTCTAAACTTCCCCAGTCCTTGGCTTTACCTGCCCCAACCCCCACCAACCCCACTGGGTGTTACCAAAGTCCACATGGGGGGCCAAGGCCTGTGGGAGCTGGTAGGGATGTGGGGACCTTATAACATGGGTCTCTGCAGGTCCTCCCACATAGCGATGAAACTCAGCCCCAGAGAGCAGCAGCTCTGCCTGTCTGGAGGGCAGAGACCAGAGAAGGAGGTCAGAAATGATGGAACAGAGCAGAGGAGACCGCTTGAGCAGCACGGGGAAGTCGATCATCTCATCATGCATTAGGCAGCTCCCACCCACAAGCATCTAGCAAGCTCTCAGCTCCCTCCCATTGGAATGATTAGTGTCCCTGATGGTATGATTGGAACCCTCCACAGGGCAATCATTTCCTCTCACCGGACACTCAGCCAGCAAGTCAGAAAGTCCTGTGTGGTCACTGAATGGCAGTTCCGGGCTCCAGCTGCCAAGAGCCATTTCTGGACTGTGTGGAGGGTCAGTGGTGATGGCTGGACCAGCTCAGCCACATCCTCAAGGGTCAGATATTTTCCTACAGGGATTAGGAGAGTCTCTTAACTTCATTCATTGCTTTTCCAAGTTGCCGTCTTTAAACCCCAGCCAGGAGACACCAGGGTTTCCCAGGGAATCTGGAGCAGGGTGTTGAGCAATGAGCAGCTAGCTATCTTCTAACTAGAAGGAGGGCTGTACAGGGGCAGCGTCCTGAGGACAGGGGAAGAGACTTGGTATGCCATGGCTACCCCACAGTATGCATTGCCATGACAGTGAAAAGCAGATGAGGCTAATAAATGAAAATTTTCCATTTTAAGTTCATCTCCAATAACAAATTCCAAAACTTTGAGAGCCAATTATAAGATGGCATTTAATGTAGCTCAAATCTTCAGACTTGTTGATTTTAATCTTAACATGGTGATGATGAGTCACTGTTTCCTGCATGGAGTGAGGCATACTAGTGCAAGACTCCTAGGTGGGTCTGAGACCGGCTCCCCTCAGCTTACCCCTGCTGTGATGGGCTTTAAACAGGGGCAGAGCATGGTCTAGCTCAACCATTGGAGACTGTCTGGAGCAAGTGGGAAGTGGAATGGAGGGGAGGAGACTGCAGAGACCCGTCAGGGGGCTGGGCAGCAGTCCAGGTGGGAGACAAACAACTAAGTTGGTGGTAGTGGGGGATGGAGAGAAGCGATTAATTCAAAGGCTATTTAGCAGTTGGAACAGGCAAGCCTTAGTGTCTGAATAAAGGAGGAAATGGGAGTGAAGTGTGTGGGAGGAGTTGCAGATGAAAAGCACCTCTGTGTACTAAATGCTGTTTCCCATTTGTCTGGTCTGGTGGCTGGTAAGTAGTAGAATCAAAATATGATTCCAAATCTGACCACAAACCTGTGCTCTTAATCACAACAACTTTTAGCTTTCTAACCTGAGGAACACAGGTGGAAAGGTTTTGGGGAAAGAGTATGACTTAGTTTTGAACAGTTAAATTCCAGTTCATTCTTCTATTCAGAAATTTTTCAGTGACAGCCACAGTCACACTATCACTTCACTTGTCAGGCACCGAGAGCATGACTCTAACATGATGGGCGCCAGCCCAGATCTGTGTTCCCCCACCACATCCCACAAGCCACCTGTCCCCAGTCCCAGCAGGCACCGTAGTGAGGAGAGCTGGGATCCGACACAGCCTGCACCAGCTCCGCAAGTCTTTCCAGGTTCTGCTGTCTCAAGGCGAACGTAAGACTCAGCTCTTTCTCAGGGTCCAAACGGCCCAGAGACACCCAGCCTGGGGGCAGCCTGCAGGGCAGGGGTTAAGGTTTAGGGACCTGGCTTTGGTTTGGGGGAGGATGGGAAATACGGGTCATGGAAGTTTCAGGATTAGAGGCTGAGGTCTTGTGTAGGCTTCCAGGCGACAGATAAGGGTCACAGGAGGTGAAAGGTGGGGGAATCTGAGGATGAGGCTATAGAGTGAGTTCCCGGAGCTGGTGAAGCGGGTAAGGAGCTAGCACCAGGTGGTTGCAGGATAGGACGTGTGGAAGGGGTGTTCAGCGTTAAGTCACTTACGTCCGCCGCTGGTCGGGCTCCGGGCTGTAACTGCTTTTGCCAGTGACGAAAAGGGCAAGGAGCCCTAGAAGGCTGGAGGTGGGGAAGCAGGCAGGTTTCGGTGGGAGTTATTGTTTCCCATTCCCCAACATTCAATCTTCCATCCCGTCCCTGGGCCCCCTATTTTCTCACCAGGCTCGGAGTCCCATTCTGCCTTTCTGCTGACCTTCTGTCATGTGATGAATCACATGATCCCTAGATTCCTTCTATTATCACCCCCACCTCTGCTTACTAACGGGGCTGGCTCCTCCCTCAGACGTAGGTGGATCCGAATGACAGTGAAAGGGTGCCATCAGCGTTCTCCCTCTTGGGGCAGCGAACACTGGGTAAGCCCAGAGCTCCCCATTAGGACTCCCCGAGTCCAGTGTAGCACAGTAAGGGGAATCACCGCAAAGTGTAGGAGACCTAGATTCT